AGGAGGCAGTGGAAGACAGGAGGGCCTGGCGTGCTCTGGTCAATGGGGTCACGAAGAGTGGACACAAATTAACGACTAAACAACAAAAACAATGGTGTCTGTAAGGTAGCTAGAACTGTCATAATATAGAATTATGGTATTTCTAGTTTTTAAAAAGTCAAGAATCCCATCCATAGTTAACTTGTCCAAAGTCTGCATTTGATGCCTGTTCACTCTTTTATTTGTTCGGTCTGTATCTCACCTTTACACCAAACAGTTCTCAAGAAAGCTATTGACTACAAACCCAATAAAACACAAATGTAACAGCACATTCATTAAAGCCAACTGTGATGTGTTCATAAGCCATCTTATAGACTAAAAGCTTGTATGAAGAAAAACATCTTTGCCTGCTTATGGTATTTTCGGAGAAGAGGCCAGTGTACCTCTCCTTCAAAGAGGTTCTAGGGTCAGAACACAAACAGAAAATGGCCTAACCACGGGCCCTGTGTGTTTCATATCTTTGGGTAAGACTCTTAATTCTAGGAAATAGTATTACACACTCAGATAAATCTCTGTTCTTTGACTTTCAAAGTGCTAACCAAATTTTAACGCCCAAAGTGGCAACCATACTTTCATATAAAAACAATAATGAGGGTACAGCATAGAGATATTGTGTTGAAACAAGTAGATTTAGTGTTGTTGTTTTTTTAAATGAGAAAATAGTCTGCACAGCCCCTAACAATGACAGTGGGCGAAAGCACTGCAATCTCCATTCCATGAGGATCTACATCTCTCCTTATCTTCCTTTTCTTTTTTGGTAGCCAAAGAGAAGCACTTATCATCCAGATCAGGTGATGGAGAGCTGCTTAAGTTCAAATCAGCATGCTTTTGCCAGCCTCTTGGGGAGCCGGTATAGGCAGGGAAAGCAATCCAACCTAGCTTGTTGTCTTTGAGTGAGAAGGTAACCCACATTACCTGAATACTGCTGCTGCATTTGTGGTGGGCTGCAGGGTGAAGGGGACTGGGGCATCTGGTACTGCTCTGTCCCAGGAGGCTGGAGAAAGCTGACAGAAGGGCTGAGGAGGAAAGAGGGAGAGAGCTGGTGAGGCAGCAGAAGCTGCAAGATGGGGAGAAGACAGCTGAGCTTCTCCCGAGAGGCAGCCATCCCCCAACCCAGTGGTGCCTGGCAACTTCCAGCCCATTCATGCCTTTAACGATAATTACTGAGATTCCTCCTCTGATCATCTTTTAATTAAGGGAATGCTTGTTCAGTAGCACTACAGATGGCAGGGACACAACACAAACAGGAGCTCCCCTTCTTTGTCTAGCTCCTAGTAGTGGATGAGCTGCACCAAGGATTCCTGATAGAGAAACAAGGGCACTTTGGGAGTAAAGAGGCACCCAAAGAATTCTGGAAAAAAACCCCAATGCAAAACACCATTTTGAGTTCTTGGACGACTGAAATAGGCTTTACATCTCCTTAGAATCATGCCCGTTTTGGAGAGCGTTGCACTTTGACATGGTCTGAACAATGTGATACCTGAGCCTGGCTTATCAGTTATGACAAGGGTGCAAGTAAAAGCTATCTAACTGTTCTCACTCAGACTGGGGATGGCTAAACCTACCATACAGCTTTGCTCTGTGGGTAGCATGTTATTAAAATATGAAAGCAGAGCCTTCTGTGGTTGGTCCCTCCCTCGAGCAAACCAGAGAAGCTAGTGATCACCCTAGTTTTCTTGGCTTATTGTGCCATATGAATTATCCCACTGCCCTCTGCACTGGAACAAAGATACAAGCAACTTTTAGAAATCTGTACATGCCTCTGCAGAAGCCAGGCAAGACAACCATCAAAGCAGCATGCTATTGTCCAGCCACCAAAGATTGCAAGGAAGAAATAGGCCAAATGGTGGCACATATAATTTTACTAGGGTTGCCATAGTTCTGAGGTAGTTCCAGGAGGAGAAAAGCAGATCTGAAGAGCAACCCTCTATTAACCTTATTAAAGGTTTGTTGTGTTTTTAAAAACAAGATGCCAAACTGCTTTTGCTGCTTTTTTTAAAAAAGGCAATGTTTTTATTGCTATTTCTTTCTGAATTTCTGCTTTAGATATTATCTCTTTAAGAAAAGACTGCCTGCATAGAAATATTGTTAATGCATGAAAATGAAAATAAATACCCTCTAGTTCCCCAGGCTCTAGTTTTATACTATTTCTATCCAGTTTTTTTCAACAAACCTTCAAAACAAATTGAAGTAAAAATCAAACAAAAATCTGAATCCTAAAACCAGTACTGTAGGATCCCCATATCCATGGGGAATTGATTCCAAGCCCCTCCATAGATGCTGAAAACCACGGATAATAGCAAACGCTATATATATAGCATGGTAAAAGAAAAAATATTTTCACATGTATTACTAAAACTGGTCACTAGGGGGTGCCAGAGACCACACTATTTATTCTTCAAAAACAAGGATTTTGTTGTTTAAAATTTTTTATCTTTTCAAACCATGAACAAGTGAAACTGCAAATACTGATCCTGCAGATATGGGAGTCCTATTGTATATCAGTTTTCAAAATTCCCAAACCAACTCAGGTAGCATACAAAGTTGCAATTAGAGATGTGCATATTTATATTCGTACAGTGGTACCTCGCTAGATGACGACCTCGCAAAACGACAAATCCGCATGACGATGAGGTTTTGCACTCGCTATAGCTATTCACAAAACAGTGATTCCAATGGGTGATTTTCGCTGGATGATGTCTGGGTCCCTGCTTCACAAACCAATTTTTGCAAGATGACGATTTTGTTTCCAATGGGTGATTTTCGCTGGACGATGTCTGGGTCCCTGCTTCACAGACCGATTTTTGCAAGACGACAATTTTGTCACTGATCGGCACTTTGCAACACTGATCGGCGCTTTGCAATTGGGTGTTTTTGGGACTGATGCTTCACAGGGCAGCCACTTTAACAGCTGATCGGCGCTTCACAAAATGGCTTCCCTATGGGCGATCTTCACAGAACGATGAGGATTTTTCTCCATTGGAACGCATTAAACGGGTTTCAATCCATTCCAATGGGGAAACGGTTTTCGCTAGACAATGTTTTCACTAAACAGCGATTTCAATGGGACTGATTATCATTGTCATGCGGGGCACCACTGTATATGAATATTCCTGTGCAGTCATCCACTCATGCATCTGGCGGCAGCCTTACTCATCCTTCCAATTACTCCCGGAGCCCCGCTCTCTTCCTGCTCAGCTGGCCACTCCAGGCAGGGGGAGGAAGGACAAGTATCCCTGCATAGCTGCCGAGTGGCTAGCCGAGCGGCAAGAGAGTGATTGGAAGGATGAGCGAGTCTAGCTCCACAGGGATATTCATATATAAATGCCCCCATCTCTAGTTGTAATATATCGAGAGCCTATCATCATAAACAAGTTTTAATTTGATTCCAAACAATCATTAAGAAAGGAACGCTGCAGATTATCTTCAGAAATGCAGTTCCAACACATGTATTTTGTTGATGGGGTGCTGTTGCTGATTAGGGCTCTTCTAGAAAGCGTTTTCCACTAAACACCTGTCAAGGAAGAGACACTGTGTGGAGCCTTGGGTCATGACATTACCTGGTGCCATTCTGTTGGGCTGGTGGGATAACACTGTAATAGACTGGCATTCCCCCAGCTTGTAGTCCTCCTTGAACAGACTGGTTGGCTGGGACCAGAACAGGCTGCTGAAAGGGCTGCTGGACTACGCCCTGAGACTCATTAGCCACTGGCACCTGCTTGGTGAAACAAAAGACAGGAAAAGAAAACCTATTATTCAGAAAAATTCTGGCAACCTAATTAAAGGAGCCAGCATGTGTAAACAATTGTGAAGGTACTGTACATTTGGGTACACCCACTCCAGGATATCAGAATTTGTACAATCCTGAGACTGGGCAGTTATATAAAACATTTTCCTAGGTCCTGACATTTATTTCACCCAAGAGGAAGTATTTAGGCTTTGTGGTTGTGGCAACAGACGCCCTGCTAAGTGGGGGGCTTACAGAGAATATGTTATTGAGAGAAAGGTGTTTTATATTTAGCACTGCATCCCATATTATGCTCAGTATCTACTAACCTAATTCCATTCACCTCATTCTTCTGCTCCCTATCCATCCAATGCTTCATGCATCCCATCTTCCTCTATCCTACCTCCTCCTAAGTCATCACAGCAAAAGCCTACAAACAGATGTTGAAATGTGTGAGCTTAGAAAAATGAAAACATAAAACTATCTGTGCCTTCCCTTCCTGCCTGCATAGCAGAGTAAAAAACATATTCTAAAAGCTATTGTATTTTATCAAAAAGATTCTATGATAAAGAAATCATCGAGGAAAATGAAATGATTTATACTGCTAAAATAATTAAGCAGAGCACTATTCACCCTTAAACAGGCATTTACTGATTGTAATAATAAAAATAATAAATGTTTGGGCTGCCTAGCACATATGGCTCAATCAGGTGTTCTTTGTGTTTTCTACATGATTCAAACAACTAAAGAAACTGAACAATGTCTGTATTTAGATGTATTTTGCCCCTCAAATTAGAACTCCTTCTGCACTACAGATTTTTAAAACTATTAAACAAGCTGTTATCACTTTTATACATTCTGAACAGAGTTCCTAACAATACCAACATAATTACCTTTTACATTCATTCTGCGCTGGCTGCACATCTATTCAAACATTTAAACCTGTATATACAGCTTGGGGACAACTTTCCTGAAATAGCACCTACTACTATATGCAACTAACTGGGATCTATCCCAAGATAATCTCCAAAGACCTTCCTCTATGTCAGGGGTCCTCAACCTTTTCTAAACCGTGGACCGGTTGGGGGGTGCAGGGTGCACTCGCACATGTGCGGATGGGCAGGGCAGACTTGTGGGTGGTCAGGGCACCTGTGCATGAGGGTAGGCGTGCTTCAGGGGAATGTGTGCGGGGGGGCAGGAGATCTGTCTCCATGGCCCAGTCCCGCCACAGCCATGGACCGGCACCAGGCCTCGGACCAGGGGTTGGGGACTAGATCTGTCTCCATGGCCCAGTCCCGCCACGGCCATGGACCGGCACCAGGCCTTGGACCAGGGGTTGGGGACCCCTGCTCTATGTGCCTTCACCAATGAGATGATGTGGGTGGCCACAAGAGAGAAAGCCTTTCCAGTGATAGCACTTAGTCTAGGGAATGCCCTCCTAAAGAGGTTTCTCACCTGGCATACATCATATGCCAGGTGAAGACCTTTATATATCTCAAAGCTTTTAAAGAACTGTTCTAGAGGTTTTAGATCTGCACTAGAGATGGGGGTATTCGTATTCATATATGAATACAAATTCCCCCGCACATCTGGATGTGTCTACTGCTGCCCCCATCATTTTATGGGTCTTTGGAAATAAAATTACGGAGCTTGATCATGGTGTTATTTTGTCAGGCAGATCACACTGTATTTTGCCAGCCACATATTTGTTAAAGATGGCAAGACTCTCAGAAAAGAGCTGGCAACTCTAATTCAGCACCACCATTGTGGAACACACAATAATTTATCACAGCAAATTGTGTTTGTCAGTAACCCTAAGTGGGTGAGAGAGACCATTTTTTAAAATTACGGTAGCTATTAACATGGAGCTGCTCTCCAAACCGGCAGGACCATATTGAGGTCTTCCTCTTCCACACCATACTAGACAGTAATTCATATCAATCCCCTAACATCTTCTAGCTGTGCATTTCTTCACCCTATTTGGCAAGCAACAGCTGTGACAAACAACACATCACCCAAAGGGAAGGCAAAGACCTGACCCTTTTTTTAATTATTAGGACCCTCAGTCCTGCCTCAAGTCCAGTTAGTTCTATACCTAGGTCTTTTAAAAACACCCAAGGATTTCCAAACCAGGTGGCTAGTGCTACCACAAGAGAACTGTCTCTGCCACAGCCCTCCAGCCGCTCACCTTTCCTTTTTTTGGTGGCTACTCACTTGATATGAAGGCAGTGGAGTATATTGGACCATCAGGCCTTGCATCTGACTGCCCATGTTTCCTCGCTGATTGTTCAGGAGGCTCTGGCTTTGCGATTGCTGGACACCCATCATGCTCTGCATCTGGCCACCCATGTTGTTGCGCTGGTTGCTGAGGAGATTCTGGCCCTGGGATTGCTGCACTCCTATCATACCTTGGTATGTCTGCTGCTGGTTGGACATGATTGGCTGTAAACCTGCATCAGGGACAAGAGGCTGAGATGCAATACATTTTGCCACTGGGAGATGCAGCATGGAGGGCTCCTGTTCCATGTTCCAGACAGCTAGGCCTGCCCTCCTTTAGTTTATTCTGTTCCATTTCCCCCAAGATCGTCTGCTCTCCCCACCCAAGCAGCTGGCATTGTGCAGTTACTAAGCATTCTCAGTCTTCACTGGGATGTACTGAAAAGGTCATCCAGGACTTGTCTCCTCAAATATTTTTCTCTGTTTCTGTAAACAGTGAGGTTCCCTTAAGCATGCTAAAAGCATATTTGTGTGTGTGTTTGTCCATGCGCATGCATTCCCCCCCCCCAATAATTGGATGATAGGATTTCCAGAACTGAGAAAGAAGTAGGATTTTGTCTTGTTTGGAGGACATTCATGTTATCCTAAGGTAGGGACCAAATTACTTGTTACACTAAATGCTTAGCTGCCACCCTCTGTAACAGGTGCACACTTGTCCCCTCCTGTCATCTCTGCTTCTCTCTTTGACGCCCTTCCCCAATGTAACAATATGTGATATAATGACCTTTTGCATTTTATCCATACTCCTCTATCACTGACTACCACTGATGTAGAGGTAAAACTCCAGATGTTGTGACACTATGGCATGACATAAATTTCCTACAAGATGTTACACAGACTTGCCAAATGTGTGGCTAACATTGTATGGTGGCAGTTATATGTGTAGTCTAATTCAGTGGTTCTTAACTTTGGGTTACTCAGGTGTTTTTGGACTGCACCTCCCAGAAGCCATCACCACCAGCTGTGCTGGCTGGGGTTTCTGGGAGTTGCAGTTCAAAAACACCTGAGTAACCCAAGGTTAAGAACCACTGGTCTAATTTATCTACTTTGTCCCAAAGAATATCCAATTCCAGGGAACTCACCAGCTAAAGGCCTGCCATTCATAATTTCCTTAAAGACCAGAAATACAAATACCAAAAGAGTCAGCTTCCCCCAAAGCCTGCCTACACGGTTGAATAAGCATCCTTTAAAATCCCAGCTGACATTTTTAAAATGGATCTTCTCCAATCCATCAGCTAAAATATCTGATATTGATTAAATATTTGTCATTTTTAAAAAATTGATGTTTCTGTGCAAATGTATTTTAAATCTTTTATTATATCTAGACTTTCAATGGCATGAACACCTGAAAGACCTCACAAGCTTCAAGTGCTAGTGATGCAAAAGGACACAATCTGCTCAGCTCTTGCAGGAAAGTTACATTTGTGCTTATAAAGGTCTTTAGTATGCACTTGCTTTAAGACCTTTAACTAAGCCAAATCCCTCTTCTGGCTCCCAGAAAAGGCAATATGGCTGGCATCCCCCTGACAGCAACACACACACTCACACAAACACACATCTCACTTTCTCCCTGTTCTTGTGCTGCATTTGCTGCCTACTTACCAGGCTGTTGTGACTGCTGAGGCAGCTGCTGGCTGCGCTGTGGGCTGTAGGCCACCGGGTGAGAGAGAGGTCGAAACTGCTGGCTAGAGTTTGGGTACTGCCCTGGTGGGTAGTAAGAAACCTGAATCTGTCAGGAAGATAAAGGAAGGAGTCAGTAAATAAGATGGAAAAGAAGAATGAGATGGCAAAGCTGAGCTCTGGAGCCCCAGCAGACAAGCCACACCAGGTGATACTCATTTTAACAACAAACAGACTGGAATGAGCTTCAAAAGGGACAACAGTGGGAGACACAGACAGTCACAAGCAACCTACATACTACTGAATCAGAAGACACAGATATTTGTCAGGGAACCCCAGATCCCTGGAAAATAGTCTAAAGAAAAGGTATAGTTTAAACAAAAACAAAACAACAAAATCAAAACAAAACCACAGAACAGCTACCTCCCCTCATTCCAAAAGGCAAAATAAAATCCCTCCCATTCCTTCTAGGCTTTTAAACTTCTGGCTAATGATACAGAGACAAAGAGAGACATGGGACTGGCCCACAGAACCAGCAGCCACTGGAAATTCAAGGGGTCTCTTCCTGCCACCCTCCTGCAAAAACCATTCTTTCAGAGTTCTCTAGTACTCATACAGGTACCTGGAGAGGGTGGCGGCAGAGTGGGTTCTGCGAAAGCACTGCTGGAGGATTTTAGCAAATCAAGGCTAATGCCTGAGCCCACCCCATCTCACATCCAAAGCCTAAACTAGACAGGCTGATTAAATGTTTATATGACTAAAATCTTCTGTCTGGCTCACATTCTGTTTGTGATGGATGGATTTTTAAAAAAAATCTCAGAATTAACTGATGCTTGCAAACATGTGCATATGCATGCATACCCACATACACATGCATGCACACACACACACATGCACACACACACACACACGCGCACACACACACACACACACACACACACACACACACACACCACTGCTTACTTGCTGGGGAGGCTGCATATAGCTCTGGGGCTGCAAGACTTGCTGGGCGGGTGCTGTGTGTCCAGAGGCAGAGAAGTTGGAGGCTGTGATTGGCTGCCCTGGGGAAGCCATAATGAATCCAGTCTGCTGAGGATGCTGGGACATGATTGGTGGCTGGAACATGGACGAGGACGGATCTGGTGTTTCAGCAGAACCCTGGCGGCTGAGGTTGATTTGGCCAAAGGGGTTGCTGAGTTCATCGGCCTGCGGCCAGAGGACAGGAGAAGGAAGCACTGAGTCATGGTGTCCTCATGGTTTTTCCACCACCAAGCATGTGGAACTCCCAACCACTGCCAGGCCCCCTGAAACCAGCTTCAGGGAACCAGGACAAAACCTGACGTTAGGAAATGTGTACAGCAACAACCGCTTACACAAATGCCCAGGTGCCAGGAGACGGACTTGTTGAGGAGAATGCATCAGTTGAAAGTAGCAAAGGGGAGATTACCCAATGACCTTTCACATCACGTTTAGTGCCTTGATTCTCTATTGCTTGAAAATATGCATCAATGAAAATAAAATAATTTGATTCTAGATGTGGGGCCATTTATAGTCCAAAATTTGCTCCTTTTCTTTGATACTGTCTATCAGATACAACTGAACACTGCAATTTCTGATCCAGAGTTATCAAAGAAAAGGGGCTAGCGGGGACCAAGTGGTGTGCCGTCCAAGCCCATGTAAGTTATAAGACAGAGCCTTTGTTATGAGAGAACTGCCCAGAGTATTTTCACTTGTGGGCTAGAAACCTGTCTTGCTAAGATTTTCAAGTTTTTTTCAAGAGCTCCTGTTGCTTCATTTGATCTGCTTTTGAAAAGTTACTCAGCAATCAGATTTTCATCTAAAGCAGGGATTTCCAACCTGAGGTCCCCAGATGTTCTTGGACTAAAATTCCCAGAAGCCTTCACCACTAGCTGTGCTCGCCAAGATTTCTGGGAGTGGTAGTCCAGGAACACCTGGGGACCCAAGGTGAGAACCACTGATCTAAAGAGAAAACATGAAAACACCCCGACAGAGAAGGCTGTGAGAAACAGAGTAACTTTATCATTTATACAGGGGCAAAAGCACAGTGCTTTCTACCCTTCTGGGATACACCTGAGAGATATTAAAACCAGCAACCGTCAGTCTTTTTACCCACCCACTAGATAACAATGAACACAGTCCACCAGGAAATTGTCTTCTGCAGAGAAGCCAAAGTGTTCCCATGCAGCTCTTCCTTCATTTCAGTAAAGCTTAGTGGGGAAGACTTTCCTGTGGATTGTGGCCCATGCAAAAGGGTCCAGTTTACACTTGTTTTCAGTGTTTTTCAAAGTTTGTATGCCTCACGGTATGGTGAAAATCTGACTTTGGACATGATCCAGCAAATTCACCTACCGAATTCTCAAATTCTCTTTGGGAGCAGGTGGCATGGAAAAATCCACAAAAAGCAAACTCTTTACCCCATTATAGAATTCTCTATACAGTGGTGCCTCGCATAACGAGCGCACCAGTTTAACGATGAATCCGCATAGCGATGCGGATTTTGCGATTGCTAATGCGATCGCATACCGATGTTTAGATAGGGCAAAAATCGCTTTGCATAGCGATTTTTAAAAAACAGCTGTTCGGCAGTTCCACAATTGGCCACCGGACGCCCAAAATGGCCGCGCGCAGCGTTTTCGCACCCTGCCCTCGCTTACCGAGGGCGCGAAAATGGCGGCCGGATGGGGAAACTTCGCTGAACGGTGAGTTTTGGGCCCCATTGGAATGCATTAAACAAAGTTTAATGCGTTCCAATGGGTTCTTCCGTTCTGTATAGCGATGTTTCCCCATAGTGACGCTATGTGGGGCACCACTGTACACCTAAGCTCCCACAAATCAATCCATATACTGTAAAGTGTCCTGTAGGCAGAAACAGGAGAAAAAGTAGAAGGAGGGTCTATCTTGCTTACATTTGCCTAACAATTTAAAGGCTACTCTCTAACCACCTCAAATTTTAAAGAACTGTCTTCGGGAATATTATTTTAAAAATACTGTGCAAATTGAGGAATCATATGGAGGAGGGAAGAATAAAGATTAACCAGTTATTTCATATTGTATTACACTCATACACTGAAATTCCCTCTCATGAATGTCCTACTGTAGAAATACATCTGATGAAAAAAAAACTGCCACTAATACAGCCACATCCTACGTAAAATGTCCCTCACTTTGCACTATCTGAACATGCAGGCTAGATAAATAAGTGCCATCTGGTAGCTGTTAAGGCCACAACTTTCAGAAAATCAAGAAAATGTTTTCAGTGTTTGTACATCATTTTGCTGAGCTGGCTTTTTTAAACATACACCAAATCATTACAGGCTTAGGATTAGATCCAACTCCCTGCTGAGTGCCCAGCTGCTGGCAAATCCTGGTTCTGTTGATCACTAATATGTGAAAGGGCTCTGCACGTCCTAATTCAACATCAATATTCAAAATTTTCTCCACACCCAATAGAGTGCTGCACACTGCACAGGGAAGGTATAAAGTGGGATTCAGGAAACTTATTTCAAACTGTAAACATAAATCATGCTGCTGTTCTTCTACTTCAACCCCCACCCCACCCCCAAAAAAGCATGGGAAAGGGTTATGTACTCAGCCTACAAGGATGACACAGAAGCCAAAACGTACTGCTTTCAAGGTGGAGATGAGGTGGGTGACAGCTCACAGAACAGTTACTGTTTTGTACCATAGTTCCCAGAAACTTGAATGATGACCAGGTGCTTCTGGGAATTATTGTCCAAAAAATGTAACTTGCCCAAGTTCTAAGTGGGTGTGTGGAATTCAGAAATAGACAGAAGGCTTTTCTATGCTATGCTCTGAAGTACGTTTTAGCTTCTATGCTGGTGTTTTTTTTTCTTTTTTTGCATGCCACAGTGGATGTGAGGGTCACAACATCGTAAACACATTGCAGGGAGAGGGAAATGAGCTTGTCATCTGTGATGCCAAAGACTTTTTCTAATAGGCAACTCCACTGCACTCTCATGCAACTACATTCCACACAGGACTCAGAACTGCAGCATGCCTGGCAACTGGGGAACCAGTTTTTATTTGCCAAGGTAAAGTATTATTGCTCTCCAAGGCTGGGAAATTGTAATGTGCCCTTCCTTGAGGACACACACCTGCAACCCACAGAGTCGATTAGCAACAATTATTGTAAACAGATGTCCTGAAAGCTTCTTGAAAGGGAGCCACAGGTAGAGAATCTGATTTGCAATAATTTATATCTTGATTTATTTCCAGGATTAGAATAGACTTGGCAGCACATCATCATCACCCTTATTAGAATATTTATATATTAATAGGCAAAGTAGCTAACAAAGTCAGCAGAGGGATACAACACATCCTTGGTTAAGCAAAGCACAAGCACATGCCAAGCATTAAAAAGGAGAGAGAGAAAGAGAGAGAGAGAGGGATGATCTATGAAGCTGGGGATTAATACCATGTTGTACTGCTGGGGTGGAGAAACTGGCAGGAGGACTTGGGGGCAGGAGCTTGGAGAGTATTGAACAGGCTGTGGAGAGGGCTGCAGAGCTGGGACCGGCTGAGGGTAGAGCAAAGAAAAAGAGGAAGGGAAAGGGAGAAGGAATGGGAATAGGAAAAGGGTAGGGAGGGAGGGGAGAAGAAAAGGCAGAAACACAGTTAGTCATTGTAATACAGAGAGAAAAGGACTGAAACGACACGGCCTGTTACTGGGTGTTTTTCATCTACTTTAGAAAAAAAATTAAAGCAAGAAACAAATACTCTGGCAAACTTTTGCAGAACGGTAGTAGGGAGTAAAAGATCTGAGGAATCTGAGATGGAGTATGTAATGTAGATACATATTCCATCACTGTCAGTTAGACAACAATTTAGGTGCCTAGTAATGCTGGGTTTTTAATGCATGAATTGCTGCAGAGCTTAAGAAGGAATTTTCTCCAGAACTCCAGCCCATTTGACATGGCAGAATGAATTTATTTAAACCACCCCAGAATAAATTATTTTTGTTTATTTAAAATTGATCACTTTGATAGCCAAGCAGTCAGAAAGCCAAGGAGAAGAAGATCACACGATGTTCTGGGAAGGCACAAGGAAACAAAGGAAGAAAAACTGGGGAAGCAGTCACCAGGTATCTTTCTTGGTTCATTTAAAAGTTGCACTGTCTTAGTTTCCTTCACAGTTAGAAACATGAAGGTCCAGAAATCAGAAGCAGGGAGAGTCCCATTTCACACATCAGTCTCAATCACAGGAAAAAAAATGTTATTAAGTAACATGGCCATATTATTTGGAATGGAACAAAAGAGAATGGTGACCCAAAAATGAAGGTAATCTGCTACTCACTATATATATATAGGATGAGAAGCAGGGTGGATTTGATTTAAATCACAATTTAAATTTTTAAAAATGGATTTTTAAATTGTTTTAAATCCTGACTTAAATCCGTTAAAAAAGAATAGATTTTTTTATTCACCCCGATGAAAGGGTAAAACTGAAGTGCTCAATGTTCAAGTTTGTAACTGCTCCTTGAATGCATATATGGATGCTTATTTTCTGAAGCCAGTGTGCAACAAAGCTCCTGCACAGTAGAAAGTTTTACCGGCATGGTAATGCAGGACCGCACCACCTGTACAAGTGTCTCCATTTCATGAGGGGAGAGCAGTTTTTCTTCATCCCTGTTCATGCAATAGGAACAAACACAAGCATGCAATCCCATAGTGCTACACTGGCAGGACTTTCTGCTCAGTGGAAGTTCAATAGGAGGGTGGTCTCCCTATGAACATATGTGCCTTCCTTTTTCTATGTAACAGTACTGAAATATACATACTGTTCGTCAGTCCAGGTAATAAAATCTTCTTCTTTTTGTCTTTTCCTGGCTCCTAATAAAGCTTTCTCCCAAGTAATACAAGCTATATGTTTATGGGTGAATTAGAGTGCAACTCAGTTCCTTTTTTTTATTAAAATGAAGGTATTCCACACCCCATAAATATTCCAGAGAGTATAACAATGTATGGGCTAAGATATATATGCCATGTCTCAGATTTTAATGGCACATTCATACATATGTCTATTTAGAAGAGGTACACTTAAAGCTTTGGTTTGTAAATAAAATTAAGCTAGGATTTGTTAAATATATGGGTAAATGAACAACAAGAAATAAATTGTGGATTTTTAAAAAATCAACAAATCCCAGGTTGATTTTTGTTAAAAATTTTTGTCTTGCTTTAAACACAATTGTGATGTTCGAACCCAGAACCATGGGATATTCCTGTGTGGCCTGCCCAAGGTCCTTCACAACCCAGAGGTACAAAGCAAAAGGAACCACAGCTCAGGAAAAATTCCTTTTGTTTGCCTTCCAGAGCACAAGGTAAAGATGGCAAATGGTCTCTAAATTCCAGGCTAATATTTATACTCATAAAGCTCACCAAAATGCTCATTCCACAGAAAGGAAGTTGATAATGCCTCCAAAACACTCACATACAGGCAAAACATACACTCCACAACAAACAAGATACAAACAGCAAAAATGCACACATTTCATACAAAACTTCAACAAGACCACCACACAGAAAGCAAAATCCACACAAAAACAAAAAAAACACAGGCAGAATAATCCACAAAAACCAAATATCCACAAGATTGTACAAACCTTGTTAACCCCACCCACCATAAAGACATACTGTTTCTCAATCCAGATAATAAAATCAGCAAAACAGAGCCCACAAGAAAAAGCCACATCCAAAAATACAAAGGCGAAATGATCCTTTAAAGCTCCTAAGCATTAAATATTAGGAAAGAAAAGAAAGGAAAACAGAAATTGGCCAAAGAATCTGCAGTTACAGTACTTTGTTCTTTTGCAAGAGTGGCTTCTGGGTTGTTCAATGAGTCATGGTTCTAGTCTTAACACAAGTGTTATGAGCAAGCACAAGGAATGAGTTCAGCACAGATTATTCTCAAGTATGTACAGCACTGCAGTCACAGCAGTACAGTAAACTTGGCTCTGATTACAAAACATTTTCCCCTCTCAAAGACTTGTATTAAAAAGAAACAGCTCAAGAAACCTTCCTTGGGAGAGCAACTTTCCAACTAGACATGGACACTTTGTATTCATATCTCCAGGACTCTTGCTGGGATTGGTGTGACAACGACAAAGCTGTCCTGTGCACAACATTGCACCACATGGAGCCTGGTGAGGGATCTGGCTGGTTCTGCGGGAGGGAACTGCTGCTGCGGCACCTGCCCATGTCTATTTATAACCCATATGAATTCAAACATATACCTGGCTGGTTCTGGGGGAGGGAATTGGGCCGCTGCAGCACCTGCCCATGTCTATTTATAACCCGTATGAGTTCAAACATATATTCCATGTATAGGTATAGCTTGATGACAGTCAGGAAGCAAATTATGTATGGTTGTTGTAGGTTTCCCGGGCTGTTTGGCCGTGTTCTGGAGGTTTTTCTTCCTGACGTTTCGCCAGTCTCTCTGGACGGCATCTTCAGAGGACTGGAGTCAGACTTCTGTCTGTGAATGATGTATCCGTGCAGTCAGGAAAGAGGACTTCAAGTATTCCCCATATATCATTCCTCATTCTCTTGGGTGCCCTTCTTAATGCAGAATGCAGGAGTTTTTGTAGGATAGGGGCAATAAATGCAGAGCATACACAGCCTTGTCTCACAATCACAGTTGTATAACTGAGATAATTGTTCTTCTATAATGCCAACATTAGGATTTATGCAAAATGTGCCCAATAAGGCAAACCTTATCCCAAAGGTTCTGCTATCATGATCAAATTCTGTATTGCAAACTAGGTTGGAAGAGAGAGGCGAGATTATGAGGAGTGGTTTGGATGCAGTGGAATCAGAATGGGGTTGTTTGGGGGGGGGCAGGAAATTAACTTAGAAAGGACCTCAGGAAGAGCATTCCCGCATCAGGGAGGGGCTAATGGAACAAGATGGACATAAGCATAGGGCAGAAACAGCCAAAATAAAATGAATGGAAGAATGCAATAATTCTCTCCCATTTGGATGACTTTCCCAACAAGCAAACAAAACATAGCTCAATTCAGCAACTGATTGTTCAAGGTAAGCCCAGAGAAATAGCATTCCTGTTTTATGCTTCTGTGCAACAACTTTCCTGCCTGCAAATCATAGCTCTGTTCTGTGCAGGGAATGGAAAAAACAAAAGAAGAAGCTTGATAGATCCCACTTGTAAGCCAGAGGTTCCCCATTCCTAGAGTACTATAGTCATGACACTCCTCTAGTTCTCTTCCGAGGTGCTTATGCATCACACACTCTGCTGCTTCTTTATGCTCAAGAAACCAGGAAGAAGAACTCTCTAGAACCTGGTGACACTGAACAGTGACTCACCTGTGATATGATGTGATTACTCATTGCTGGCTGTTGCTGGGGAGTAGGTGGAAGCTGTTGATGCTGCTGCTGCGGCTGCTGCTGCTGGGCAGCACAGGGCAAGAGGCCTCGGCCAGGCTGAGCAGAGGAGACTTGGCTACACCCTTCTGAGGTACTGAGTGACAGACCTTTACAGGGAAATAAAATACACCGGGCAGGTGTAAATAAAAATAGTACTTTATTTCAGCAAAAAGTGCCTATCCTGGCTAGATGGAATACGTCAATGACAACAAGTCCCCAGATGGTAATTCTGGGTGGGTGCAGAAATGCCTCCACACATGGTCAGCCTTCACTCCATTCTTGTAATTCAGGGCAGACTGAACACCTCTATCCAAATAGATGTGAATGTGATTCCTGATTAATATAAACCTTGGCAAATAAATACCCTAAATCTGCCCTGAAGCATTCGACTTGAAGCCTGTAGGCCACATTTAATCCCCTTAATCCCCCTCAAGAGCTTCCCATGCTCTTGCCCTGTTTAAAAAAATGACAAAAAAAGTTTTCTGATCTTGGAGGCTTCCTGGAGCAATCATTTTCAAGCAGAACAAACTTGGTGTTCTCCCCACTGCCCCCCAAAAAACCCTCAAATCAAACAAATGAAAAGTAGAATAAGACTTCTGGGCACTTCTGATTTTGTTTTCATTTCTTTATTTAAAAGAGGTTTAATTTTTCAGCTACACCCTTACAGATGCCAGAAGCAAATACTGTAATTGGCCCCTGGGTGTGCCAAAGTTGTCCAGTCTTGGTAAAACAGACTTCACTTTGTTGCACTAACGATTGCAGTTCACATTTTGTGCACTGCTTTAAGCACAATTTCATATGGGAAAGTGCAATGAGGACAACAACAACGATGAGAATTTTTAAAAAATCATTCATTCTGGGATTCTTCATTTGTGAAATCGCATCTATGCCAAAAAAAAAAGCATCTGAGCATATTAACCTCCACTTCTTAATTGGGAAGACTGTCAATATACTTTAACTTCCTCAACAGCCACTGCCCTCAACACATGCTCTTTTGAAATATATTTAAGCCCCCTCCTCAGCTTTAGTTCTTGGTTCACAACCCACTAAATGAATGGTCAGAGTATCTTCTCCACAGCCCCCCCCCAAGCAGTGCTCACTCAAATATGACCACACATCATGCATTTATTCAGCCAGCCTGGCTCCCAGCTAAATTTTCGTCCATTGACATATATAAGGCAAGGGGGGAAAGGGGAGACACTCTTGAAATTGCCAAACACACACACACACACACACGCACGCACGCACGCACGCACGCACGCACGTATGCGCACACACACCACTGTGGGGTTTATCACTTCCCATCCTCCTTGCTGTCTGAAGCTGCTTCTTTTTTTAAATTCACAAAATAAACAATCCAGTTACATAAGCAGCATGATAATCATGATACTGTACTGAATTTCCATCTTGAATGCCACTAATATTATTGATTTGAATTGTATCCATCACTTCTGGTATTTTAAATTGTTTATTTAGTTATTTTTAATGTTATATGCAAGACATAACCAAAATATCATTCAAAAAATATGGGGGGGGGAATGAATTGCACTCACATATAACCTTTTGCTTCCCACACCACTTGGGTGTCATTTATGTTATTATTTACTGGTTATATTTACATATAGTGTTATTGCCCCATTTCTCTCCAAAAATATAACGAGTCTTCACCCGGAGTAAAACCTTTCCCTTTCTCAAACTCATGTAATGTACAGTATTAGAATACAGTACAAAACACTGCAATATCCTGCAGAACCTTTGGCCTTTTAAAAGTTTAAATTACAACCTCCACCATCTTGGTGGACATCCAGTACATGCTACTGGATCTACTACTTGGGGCTTCTGAGAGTTGATATACAAATAATGTGGAAGGCCAAAGGTTCCACACGCCTGTTTTAAGCAAAGGTCTGCAAACTGTGCTAGATCTCAGTGGGGCTAGAGCCATCATACTGACTACAAGGAGCCCTTTCCCACAGCTCTTTAGTTTGAAATCTATACAGATGGCTACAAAATGTGCCAGATATTTAGATATCTAGATGCCAAAGACAAATGTATTTCCTGTCACAACCGGGATGGCAGAAAACATCAGCGTTCTTCTATAGCTTTTAGGTAATTGAGCATCAACTTGGAAGCCAAAATATTTGTCCATTTACGTATATTCTGTGCTATCCTAGGGCAAAAAAAATGGGATGTGTGTTACATTTATAAATAAGCACACTAGAGAAAGGCAGGGGGAAGAACCCGAAGGACTTCAGTGTCTATCCTTGAAGTTCAGCTGCAGGATGACTGTAAACAGGGTGACTGCATGAGTCATTCTGACTGCTGTAGGAAGCAAAACTGAAAGAGGACAATATGTTGCTGCATGCCGCCCCCTTTATTGACACATCCCTGAGTCTGATCTCAAGATGAAAAATCAGTACATCAGTAAAAGCATCATCCATATTTGTGCATAGAAAGAACACTAGGCAATACTACTGAGTGATGAAAGAAGGTGTGAGAGCCACAGCAGTGTTCATTACTGACATTACTGGGCAAAGGACTAAATATGCTTTTTTACACAAAGATGTGTAGGCAGAGCTATGAGCTTCCTGCTTATTCAGAAAACATCGTCTTAGCACAAAATACATAGCTGGTGATAAATCCAACATCCTGAGAACTTCTGCATGTGGTTCCCCTTCCCAATGACGTTAGAAAAATCTCCATAACTGCCTTTCTAAATCAGCATCTGCCATGTTTTATACTATTACACCAGTCACCCCAACCATTGCTGATTCTGATGGAAGCTATAACCCAGAATTCTAGAGGGCACCAGCTTGGAAAGGGCTGACAGTGAAAGGGGTTCAGCAGCGCTTGATGAAATCCCAAAAGCCAGGAAAGGATGGAGCACAGTTTAGAATCATTGCAACAGCAGCTGGAGTGCCCGAGGTAAAGAAAAAGCAGACAATGGTTCAACCTTTCCACATCTTTCCTACTTCCTTGGCAAAAAATAAAATAAAAAAATAATATATATATTTAAAATAAAAAAAATCTCCAAATTGTTAAACAAAAACCCAGATCTTAGAATTGCAAATTTCCTTAAAATAAAATTTCATGGTATTTGGCAAAAGTGATAGTGATGGTTATTGAATAGTTTACCCATTTCATATAAAGGTGGGGAAATAAAAATAGCGCATGTTCTCAAGCATTTTCAAAAGGAGGTGGTGAGGAAAGGAGAGCTCCCATCAAATAAATCAGCACTTGTATAATGTGTGGTACCAGTGATGAATATGCATACCTACAACAGTGTTCATGGAATTAATCTCTGCTGTGAAGCTTCAAAGTGGCTAATATGTATTGTGAAAAGTCAACTCTCCCCACTCCAAAAAAGCAGCTTATGGAATTGCCAACTCTCCCTGTTTCATTGAAACTTTTCTAAGTGGGAAGAGACGTAGCAGCCTGTTAGAAATTTTACCCACTATAAGCATACAGAACTAGTTAGTGCTGCATCAGACCACTGGTTCATCTTACTTAGTACTGTCTACACTGACCAGCAATAGCTCTTAAGGATTACATACAGGATCCCTTCCCAGCCTAACTCAAAAATAGACGGGTTACTTACCTGTAACCATGGTTCTTCAAGTGGTCATCTGTGAATTCACACAAAAAGGGGTTAATCCAGCACCAGCGATGGTCCTCTCCGAATATTCTAGAGTTTGAATAGAAAAAGAAACAAAGTTTAAGGTTGCCTGCACTGCGCATGCTCCACCCGCCCTAGCCTCAGTTCTGAGCATAAGCTCAACATGAGCATGAATCTAACATAACCAGTGACGGATAGTGGGGAGGCCGGGCGGGATTGTGTGAATTCATAGATGACCACTTGAAGAACCACGGTTACAGGTAAGTAACCCGTCTTTCTTCAGCGTGGTTTCTGTGAATCCACACAAAAAGGGTGACTAGCACGCTAACTCACCGGAAGGAGGGCCGTCACTGAAGGACGGATGTCAACACCGCTCTCCCAAAACTTGTCTCTCTCTTCGCCCTCATGTCCAGCCTGTAGTGAGTGATGAAAGTGGAGGCATTAGACCAAGTGGCTGTTCTGCAAATGTCAGGTACATCAATGCCTTGTAGGAGGGCTGTAGATGAGGCCACGGCTCTGGTGGAATGAGCCCTGAGTCCTTCAGGAGGAATCTTGTGCAGAAGTGCATAAGCCAATGAAATGGTAGAGACAAGCCATCTCTGAGGTGTTGATGTCCTGGACATCTGCCGAGCCGCTACCTGGTCCAGTGCCTCAACCTTTATATCCTATTATCGATTGGACCTGAGGGCTAAGAAGGAGACAAGCTTTGGGAGAGCTGTGCTCACGTCCATCTTGCAGTGACAGCCCTCCTTCCGGTAAGTGAGCTTGCTAGTCACCTATTTGTGTGCGTTCACAGAGGCCACACAGAAGAAAGACAGGTTACTTACCTGTAACCGTGGTTCTTCAAGTGGTCATCTGTGAATTCACACAAAAAGGGGTTAATCCAGCACCAGCGATGGTCCTCTCCGAATATTCTAGAGTTTGAATAGAAAAAGAAACAAAGTTTAAGGTTGCCTGCACTGCGCATGCTCCACCCGCCCTAGCCTCAGTTCTGAGCATAAGCTCAACATGAGCATGAATCTAACATAACCAGTGACGGATAGTGGGGAGGCCGGGCGGGATTGTGTGAATTCATAGATGACCACTTGAAGAACCACGGTTACAGGTAAGTAACCCGTCTTTCTTCAGCGTGGTTTCTGTGAATCCACACAAAAAGGGTGACTAGCACGCTAACTCACCGGAAGGAGGGCCATCACTGAAGGACGGATGTCAACACCGCTCTCCCGAAACTTGTCTCTCTCTTCGCCCTCATGTCCAGCCTGTAGTGAGTGATGAAAGTGGAGGCATTAGACCAAGTGGCTGTTCTGCAAATGTCAGGTACATCAATGCCTTGTAGGAGGGCTGTAGATGAGGCCACGGCTCTGGTGGAATGAGCCCTGAGTCCTTCAGGAGGAATCTTGTGCAGAAGTGCATAAGCCAATGAAATGGTAGAGACAAGCCATCTAGAGAGTGTTGAAGACGATGCTGGTAAACCTTTTTTTTTTCTTTCCAAAA